AAGCGAATTTTGGGAATGATGAGGGCAACAAATGTATAGAAATGCTCTACACAATTGATCTATGTATTGTGATGGATTTTATGAGCCCCAATAAATTGAATTAAAAAAAACAGGGAAAAAAAAGGAGCAAACTTTCACACACATTTGATCTGTGTGTGAGGATCTTGCGTCTGTAGACAGCAACTCTGGGGAGCAGATGTGCTGTGGAGAAACGTCCTTCCCGGAGTCGGAGCGACAGGCTTTTCGCCATATATCTCACTCTAGGGACGGCATCCAAACCCTGTAGTCGGAGTGCTGGGAGCAGACCACGTGCACTTTCTTCCAGGTCCTCAGCTCCCCACATTGGAAGACTTCCAAATCTTAGCTGTAGAACAGACTTCACTACAACTTTTTAAAACCATTTTATTAGGACATAATCCAGATATCATACAATTTAATAGTCATATGAAGAAATGTATAATCGCTACTACAATCAATTTTAAAACATTTTCCTTCTTGTGCTCCTTGATGCTAACTCCTCATACCACCCTACCCCCCAGCTTCCACTGCCACCTTCCCAGGAACCCTTAATCTGGTTACTGTCTCTAGATTTACCCATCCTGCATTTCGTATACCAAAGACCTAGACAAACAACATCAAGAAGGCCACCAACAGTAATAAAATACCATGGAGATACACCCTAGTTCACATCACCTTTGACCCTGGGACATCTCATGGTTAAGTGGTACTCTAATCCCTCTCCTGCCTCATCCCCTAGCACCCTCCTCCCCAATCGGGTCTGTCTCTGACTCTAACCCCTTACTCCCTCAACCCTTTGAGGGCAGGACCACTAGTGACAAGCTACGCGGGAACTGGAGAACAGCAGACCTTTGACATAACTCACTTCCCAAGATTGCTGTCACCTACCAGCCATTGTGCTGGCTGCCAGAGGGGAAGGAAATCCCTGGCCCAGCTCAGAGAGGAGGAAATGGCCCACCGTGTGAGATGCTCTCTCTTCCCGGGCCCACTTATAAATGGGCCGAATGACCTGCCCTCCAGCTCCCCTGCTAGAGCCCCCCTCGGCCTCACCTGACCATGTTTTCCCCAATCCACGCTGCCCCAGGACTCCCCAGGCAGTGGTGGGTGCTTGGCAGGAGGTCAGAGGACAAGAGTTTGAGGCCTGCCCAGTTTCTCATGGCCTGCTGTATGGAAACTCATGCTATGATGGAGAACCCCAAAATGCATCCCACACCCTGCAAAGCACTTTACCTACGTCATCTGGTCTCGTTCCCCAAACAGAAAGGAGACCAATATTAGCCCCACTTTCCAGGCTCATGGAGTTCTGGACACTTGCAGGGTAGCTGCAGAGTGGAGGCAGCTGGTGTCGGGAAGCAGAGGTGTGGAAGCAGGTGTGCTAACACCTGACCGTACCCCCAAGTTCTGTCAGCCAGAACTCTTAAGTCTGCCAATGAACTTCCCCTCCATGTCCGGCAGGAGCCTGGGTCATGGCTGTGTGGAAAGTGGCTCTATTTAAGGATTAAATAGACATGGCGATGACAGTCAATCTCAGAAACAGATGACTCCCATCCCCATTAATTGGCAGCACACAGTAATCCAGGTTATGAGAGGGTTGGAGTTTTATTTTGAGACTAGTCAGTGTTAGAGTTGAGTGTAGTATCCAAACCCATTGCAGCTGCACCCACACCTACCCATGCCCCATATTACAGATGGCCTCCATCTTAGGGCCTCAGGCCCAGGGTAGGCTAGAGGAGCCAAAGGAGGGGTCTTGCCTGGGCCGAGATGAGGGGTGGTCCAGCTTGGTGACCACAGCCGAGGCACAGATGAGATCAGACCCTGCTCAGCAAGGTCTGGGGAGTAGCTTGCTCCACACAGGATGGAGTGCTGAAGGCCCAGCCAGTCCCCATGGGGCTGTGATCGGGCCCTGTCCAGGTGTACCCTGGACCCAGGCGAGGCGCTGGACAGGAGTGAGGGCCCATGACAGCGTGCTGCTGGAGGGCCTGGGAGAGAACGGAAGCTCCAGGCCAGGCTCAGGCCGGCCCTTTAGACCTCTGGCTTCCTGTTCTTGAACCTCTACCAACCACACCTGGTAGGGAAGAGAAGAGTCTATTCGGGCTCCAGCACCACCCCTCCCACCCAGGAACAGAGAGAGCAGAGCCCAGAGGCTGGGTAAGCTGACTATGAAAGGGGTCACAGTTCACCTGGATCTTGGCCTCCGGAAAGTAGAGCTGCAGACAGGCTCCAGCTCTAGCAGCCCCCCTCTGCTGAGAATAGTCCACTTTCTCCAGTGGGGACCCGGTGCCCAGCATACCTCCCTGCAGAACCTTGTGCCTGCGTTCCCACCTCATATGCTCTCCACAAGCTCACCTCGCCCCCCC